GGTCCCGCCGGGCCGGGGCTTGTATCTTACCCCCTTCGCAAGGTGCTGGGTTCTTGCAGGTGTGGATGTGGTCTGGATGTTGTCCTGTGTCCTGTGGTCTCTATTTTAGGAAGATTTTTCTTTGGTATATTTTCATAGCTCTATGTGTTTTTGGGAGGAGATTTCCCCTGCTCTACTCACGCCGCCATCCTGGCTCCGCCCCCCAGATTATTTTATTGTTAATATTTGACTCAGTTTGTATCCTCTCTGTGTGCACCCATGTGTTTCACAGGAAAACATACACACACACACACACACACACACACACACACATTTTGTGTATCTATTGAGATATATATTGAAATGCACATGCAAACAATTTTTTTCTGACTCATTTGAGGGTATGTTACATGTTATCATGATCCTTTACCTCTAAATACCCCACAGTTTATTTCCTAAGCATAGAAACCCTATTATTTTTGAGATGGGGCATCTGGGGTGGGATGAGGAAGGCAGAACATGAGGAAGTTGTCTCCCCCTGGCCACCAGGAAACCTATCAATCAGCTATTACCCCTTGCTGTAACATCAGAGCCTGAAAACTATTATACCAGACAACTCTCATTCCATCAGTTAAAAAGAGTATTTCCAATATTTGTACATTTATTTATAAATTGGATATATATATATACTAATCTACTAATATATAAAGCTTACTTATGTATAAAATACATACTTACAAAGGATGAGATAAAATTAAATACAAATAATACAAGTTTTAAGGTTTTCTCCCTTTACCTTTGAAGGTATGCACCTCCCCATTTGGGGACCACTTTTCTATACTATGGTGGCAAACAGGAAAAGCACTGCTACCATTTCCAAAGCTCAGCATGGGTTCTGCTCCCCAGATATATGCCCACTCTCTCTATCACAACAAAGTTTTGTCGCCTTCATAGAGCTTCCTGCTACCAGAAGTCATCTTGCTTATTAATGTATTTACTTGTATATTTTCTTTTTCCCCCCCATTAGAATATAAGCTCCATGAGAGCCAAGATCTTATCTATCTTGTCTACACCTAACAACTCTGCACCTAAAACAGTGCTTGGCACATAGTAGGTGTTCATTAGATACTTATGAACAGCTAGTTCCTAGCTTGCATTCCAGCTCTTTCCGTCTGCCTGGTCCTCCACTCTCCTGGCAGGCAACAGGGCAGGGCCCCTGACCCCCTGCAGGCAGCAAACAATACCCTATCCTACTGAGAAAAGCTTCTCTACTTAAAGACCTCCTGCAGAGTATGAGTGGCTGAGGGCAATCTTTCTCTTCCTGTAAAACACAGGGCCACAATCTCAAACCCAGAACTTAAAACATATATGTAATTAAAATATTTCTAAAGGCATTTCTTATAAAAAAAAAAAGTCATTGATTTGTAAGCTCAGCTATCATTTTTCACAAAAGAGCTATCATTCTCAGTCAGTAGAGTCCAGCTATACTTGTGGTTTCTGTTCTGTGAAGAAAAAGAGAAAGACATGCAGGTACCTGATGGTTTTCCACACATCGAAGCCATCCAGAGGCTTGGTGCCGTTTGTGCTTCCCCCGGCCAGCTTCACCAGCGTTGGCAGCCAGTCGGAAATGTGGATGAGCTCCCGGTTCTTCACACCCTTCTGTTTCAGCAAGGGGCTTGCCACAAAGCCCACGCCTCGAATGCCTCCTTCCCAGAGGCTCCATTTTCTTCCTCGAAGGGGCCAGTTATTGCCACCTGCCAAAGTCTGCCCTCCATTATCTGAAACACAATTAGGTCCTGGTATGAGGGCCATGTTAACTATTACATATACATAATAACAGAAGACTTTTGTGTGTGTTGTTGATAAAAAGAGCTTAAGAACAAAAAAGACAACTTCTCCTTACCCTCTCCGGTACCAACTACCCTTCTCCCACCTGACACTACTCTCCATTACATAGGTGTGGCACAAATCTGACAAAAAGACTTGTCAGGGATTTAAGGACAAGGAAGTACCCTGAAAGTAACAATTTAAAGACACTAAAAAACAAGGAAGTCCCCTGAAAGTAACTGCTTGAGATAGAGCCCTGGCTAATCAATGGCTAGGCTTCAAATGCATGCATGCAACTTTGTGTAACAAGGGAGAATGAATCCAGGTAAGCTGGGCCACTCCTCCCATATGAAAACAAACCTCTGAGTTTCACTTAGTGTCTTAAAGCTCCTGGTAAATGGGAATAACAGACCTTTTTATTTTCCTCCTGGATAATTTTTCTAAGATTTAAACTGGTAACTGGATTAATATTCTACTCCCTGGTGATTTGGATTCTTTCTTAAGTATAAAAGTCGAAGATTTCTCCAGTAGGCTTCTCTAAAAACAAAGCAGCTGGGTGGAAAAAAATAATTGTAAGAAAAGTCCCTCCCTTCTCAACAAGATGGCAAGACGAACTTCATCATGCACTGTACCAGGGAAGAAACAGATTTTCTTCCAAGACAACTGAGGAAATGGAGGACATAAATGAAGCCAGAGAAGTTACAAGAATGACTGACGGTAAGTATCCTACCAGCTGGTTGGAGCTCAGTTAGAAATTAAGTTGGACTGTAGGAAGTAAAACGTGGTATTTCTTGTGTACCTGAGGTTGTAGAATCGTATTATCTCCAAGCGTATCCATACACTTGGGTGACTTTAGAGATACATTTAATAACACCTACTTGCATATATATTATACTTCAATTAAACTTTAAAAAACCACTGTTATCCAAATAACCACATGAGGGCAGTATGATAGACCTGCTTTATAGAACATTACAAACAAAAATCTAACACTGAAATCAAGATCTATCAAAGCTGCAGGATACACACAGAAGGAAAGAGTACCAACATTTGTAAAGCATATACTGTGCACCAGACACCACTTTAATTTCACATTATCTTTCACAGAATCTGGAGTCTGATAGATCTGAAATTAAAGCCTGATGCCAGCTACTAGCTGTGTGATCCAAGATAATATGCTGCCTCAGTTTCTCTACCTTTAATAGGGAGATTATAATTCTTATCTCATGCATTATGGTGAGAATTAAATGATACCATTTATAATAATTACTTGGCTGGCTACCTGGCACAACCTACGTACCTGCTCGATAAGGGTAGCTAATATTTACAACAACTCAAATAGTCTACTATTACAAGCATTCTGTTGCTTAAAAAAAAAGGTTTGTAAGGCCAGATAGCTAATAAGTGGCAAAGCTAGGATTCAAATAAAGTCTGTGTGCCTCCCCAGGTGCCTTCTGGACCCTGAGTGCCATGCTCCTAATGTCCCTGGTGTAGAGAAGAACTTATGCCTACAGGCCGCATAAAGCTTCAGTTCTCTGTGAAGACTATAAGAAGTCAATCTCCATACAGGATACAGCAGAAGGAGAGCTATTTCAAGGTGATGATTAATTCCCGTTAAGGGAACCTTAGTGCTGGTACGTAAGAGGTTCAAAGCTCTGGTGCCAAGGAGGCTTCTGATCAAGCCCTTACCATGCTGGGTCCTTGGTTCTTCTCTGTGTTTATGAGGGGGAGGAGGAGAGCCTTGGGCTAGATTAGAGGAAGGAAATGATTGTTCAACATGGGTGGGTGACAGTCAATCTCATCATTTGCTATCACAGACTTACAAGAACCTTTCCTTAAACTCACATCTCTTCTTGTCAGTACTCAAGGTCCAAAAAGTCATCCAAGCCAGTTTATTAAATATACATTACATTTCACACAAGCAGATCTGTATATTCAAAACAAGGGACGAGCATTTTTAGACAGAGGGAATTCCTCCATGCTCCTCATTCTTCACTGAGCATCAGCCACCCACAGCCAACAAATCAAAGCTTAAAAGAAGGTGCCATTCATGTTACACAAAAATACACTGGAGAGAAACAGTTACCCATGAAGTCAAGAATGGCTGAGGCAGCATTACTGTTTAACCCTACTGTCTGGATTGCTATAAATGTACTGGCACAATGCTTGTAGAAGATGCATGTTGTCTCCATTTTAAAAAGATACACTTCTTTGGAGATACTTTATAATGTCTCTTTCAGTTCCACATGTTTGTTAGTGCTCAATATAGAAATATTAGATGATGGTGGTGGAAATAAGAGTGGTGATGGCAGAGATAAGAGTGGCTGGGTCTGGAATCTGATTCTAGGAGCAGCCCTCCAGGTATGACTCAGAAAGGAAAACACTCTGGGCTATAAAGAGAATTTGGCCACTGTTGCTACTGTAGGAAGAGGAAGGTGTCGCCACCTCTTCTTAGGGGTGGCCGATGATGCAGTGTGGGTGATGTTTTTGCCATTAGCTCATTGTGATGTTTTTTCCATTAGCAATGATAAGTCATTCTCTCATCTGTTATCAGTGTGGCTTCCTCCGTCATTTTTTCATGAGCATTCCAGAGAGAAAGCACTGTCAGCTGACACTCCAGCAACTTCTTCTCTTGGACTGCCTGTCACAGAGCCAGTGCAGATGCAGCCACATGAAGAGGGTGATCCAGCTGTACTAGGGGCTTACGTCTCCACAGGTGGCATATGGTGGGTGGCTGCCATGTCCCAGCAAAGGGACAGAATCCACAGGTGGGCCTTTGAAATGCAGCGTGCTGTCCATCTGTTATAGTACAGTCTCCAGGGATTTCAAAGAGTTGGACATAAAATTGATCAGAGTAACAACAAACATGCAATAAGTTCATTTGAAACAGGTACAGAAAGTTTACTATTTTGCTCCCCTAAGTCTGACATAAAACTTAAAAAGACAATAGAGCCACGACCATTTCAAACACATTTCTTTTCATTTTCCATCCTAATTTTTTGTGGGGGCAAAAGTTAATTGTGTCCTTATTAAGAAACAATTTTCAAGAGAAAATTTTGTTGTTTCACTTCCTGATTGACTTAATGAAAAAATACCCAAATCAAAGTAAGATGACTCCCACTAATAAAAGAAGCTATGAAGCAAGGAAATAGTTCTTCAGCAATGTTTTTGGCAGAGAGAAAACCTAATTATAAAACCTCTGCTGTCTAGAAATGTCAAAATAAATGTTGTCATATACAGATGGCAAATCTCACTTTATTATTCATTACTGAAAAAACTGTCAAAAAATCATGGAAAAATATTGGTTAGCCAAACATCTGAGCCAAACATTAAGTATATGAGAATGAAACCTCATCCATATCCAGCTGATAAAAATTAAAATGGAACCATGACAACAACATTAGTTTTTAGGACTATTCCCGATGATGTACTGTTGTGGCTTGGCTATGGAAGACTGCCCTAAACCATCAGTGTCTGTCTCCATCTTGTTGCCCCCATGGGTCTTTCAGCCTGGGCTTGTCCAAGACCTCCTCCTCACCCTGACCTCGGGATCCTGGAAGGAAAAGCAAGGAAGGTTCCAGCAGCTTGGCATCAGAGCCTGGACTTCCCTCGGAACAGGGGTGCCAACGTGAATGGGACAGATGAAGGGACAGAATGATTCAAATACAAAGCAGCCCCTCTTTCTAAAAATGGGGCCTGTTTGCTGATGGTTGATTCTTTCAGACTAATATTTAAAATTACTAAAATGTAAATTAAAGAGTTAGTTTATGTCTTAGTAGTCATCTAAAGGATTAGGTATTAATTCAAACTTCTCCTATTAGAAGATCTTAGAGAAACTACCTACCCAGACACTTCCTTTACAATCCATTACAATCCAATGTTCTCCTGTTTCCCTCTTGCCCTCCATTCAGTCATTCTGATTAAATATGCATTCACTGCTGCCGAATCTCTCTAAAATGGACTTCCAGTCCATCACCCCTTGTCCAGCCCCACTGCCCTGGGTCTGACATCTCTCTCACCTGGACTCGGGGTAATTTACAGACTGCTACACGTTGTTGTCAGGGCATCTCTGTGAAAGTAAATCCAATCAGGCCACATCCATGTTTAAAGACCTAATTGCTTTCCAATCAGGAAAAATTTCAAACTTCAGTCAAACATATAGAATCCTTCACATCAAGCCCCAACCTACTTTTTGGGCAATTCCTGCCCTTCCCCGTAAAAAGTGCCCTGGGCTTCAATCACACAGAACTAAATTCTTGTTATTAGCATATGGTATGCCTGTTCATGCTGACTTTGCCTATATACATGTTGGTTCCTTTGCCTAAAATGCTCTACCTCTTCTTACCTGCCTGACTTAAATTTAATGTCACATCTTCTATTAACTTTTTGCTCACTCCCCAAATAGACTTTATCTCTCTTTGCTTCTATACTTTATGCACACCTTTTCTATTGCACTTATCTCTGTATATCGTTAATTAGTTGTTCATGGGTTTGTCTTCTCCTTAAACTCTGCCTCTCAAGGGCAAGAACAATGTCTCATCTCCTTTGCATTTCCAGGATCTAGCAGAACTGCCAAGAGAAGGGCTCAAAAATAAACGAGTGGAGAAAAGGCCACCAAAATTTGACACTGAAGTTACTAAAAATTAGCTTTGTTACTGTACAGTGTTTTCTGAGCCTTCACCCAGCCTTGACTTTGACTTAGGAAGCTGTTCTTTACAGAGATGTTGCTTATTTACCAGAATATGGGTAAGGCATGGTAGGGGGGCACCTAGACCCCTGTGAGGATTTACGCAATCAAACCCACAGAGACCAGCATTGTCTGCCCAACCTGGCACCTGATCTGCTACACTAAAGTCAAAGGGATTTGATTACAAGCATTTGAGGGACTTTGGTCCTGCCTGGAAAACATCTTCACTCACCCCTTAAACAAATCTTCCCAGAGCACCCACCA